CATACTTCCAAAAGAAAACAAGGCATATATGAATATTGTAAAAAGGCATTTCAAGTTTTAAAAATAATATGTTTGGGAAATATATTATCTAGAATGTTAATTATTAAAAAAAAAATAGCATTTATAGATATATTCGTTTTAACTTCAAATTTTATAATTAAGGGTAAAACTAGATTTCTAGGTTGTCCTAATAATTTTGGCACTCATACTATATCTTCTAAAGAGGGTTTAAAGGTGTACCTTATTTTGATTGTTTAGGATTTACGTAAGGTAAATGCTCTCATTGTATAATTTTCCTTATATAAAGGGTATGCTTTGCATAAGATTGTAACATTAAACAATTAAGGTGAGGCACACCTCCAAACTTTATCATTAGATGCAATTTTAGTATTCAAAATTATAAAGATGGTCCGGGAATATGTTTTTATCTTTAATTATGAAATTTTAAACTCTAAAAGTAATTTAAATCAAGCAGATCTATAGCCTGGAAATCTTGAATATGGATAATCCAATTAATGTGTTGCAAGATGTACTATTTTTTGGACTTGAAATTCTTTTTTTCTCCATATCCATACATCTTGTCTTTGAAATGATCAATTTAAATGATTTTCCAATGGAAAAATAATATTTTTTTATGGATTTTTTAAGTGCACTGAATTATACAATTTAAGATGTTAACCTTGTATAACCTTTTTTCTTATATAAACCACTGCCATTTCTGGTTTAAAAAGGATGATTCATACATTATGGATAGAAGCGATGGATAATTATGAGGCGAAGACCTTGTGTTCTTCAACCAAAAGAGATCTGGTGGGCACACAAAAAATGCCAAGAAAAAAATTAGATATTGCAAAATTAGAAAAAAAAATTATTTAGTATAGAAGATGCCAGTGGTTCAATAGTGAGCCTATTCTCTCTTTTGCATTCTACCATCAATTGTAGATGGAAGGTGGATGATAAGCGATAGAGACGTATTAACTGCTATGTAGGTGTTTAGGAATCTGGACTTGGGTCAAGACTCGGTAAGGCTTGAACCCAAGCCATCTTGTCCAACTCGATTGAGTTTGTGGAAGACTCGACTGAGTCTACAACATATTGATATAGGAATGCTGAAATGGATTAAGACTCGGGTGAGTCTTTTGCTTCTAGTTCAGATTGGGGTCTGAGCCGAGTCATAAGTTGGCTTGGTGAGTTTTGAAACACTTTGGTATTTTTGGTACTTAAAATGATCGAAAATTGACTTGAAAATAAAAAAATAGTTGGCCTATTTATGATAATTTGCAGGTTGAATTTTAGCCGGATTTCATATTTAAATTTGGAATGTAAGGAAGATAAATTTTGAATAAAAAAATATTTTTTATTATGCTGTTAGCATGCTGCCAGCCCGCATATTATCAACGGATGCAGTTAGCATGCAGCCAGCCCGCATATTGTAGAAATGAGAGCTTGGCAATAAATATATCTTTTAAATATAATTTGATCTTAATTTTTAAAGAATATATAAATATAAAAAAATAAATAAATTTTGAAAACTAGAAATAATAATTATATTAAGAAAACATTTGGACAGTTAGTTACAATTGTTTTTAAATGGACCACCTATTTGCATCCATCTTTAAGATGGATGATTTATATCTCTCGATCACATGTTGTACAAATGCGGTCCAGCATGCATGAAACAATTGTTATCAAAATACCCGTGAGCAATGCATTATTTAGTATTTTAGATTGTTGAGACTCTTCCAACTCATGATACTGAGTATTTTTATAGGTATTTTTAAATTAAATCAAACAATAGAGGTATAATGTTAGATAGTTCATCTCATATGGCTATATTTGATCATTTTTCATTCTCAAATAACCAAAATTTGGTGTCCCAATAAAATAATATTACGAAAATATAAAAATAAACTATTTAACTTTTTATCTATAGTTTTATTTAACTTTAAAATACTTATAAAAATACACATCATCATGAGTCAGGATAGTTATAAAAGTGTAAATTGTATATAGTTCTAAAAGTGTAGATTGTATAAAAAGTTGACACTTTAAAATGGTTTGAAAGATGTTGTTTTGATGTTCAAGATTTATCTAATTGATAACTTGACATTGAGATATATAGATATGGAGAGAAAGAGATTTCAAGTTTTTAAAATTGTACATCTTGCAAACCATTATAGGTATGGAGAGAAAGGGTTTTAAAGTTTTAAAAATTGTACATCTTGCAAGCCATTATCTACACCGTATGTTTTTAATATTTTAATGCAATTATAAATCTTCTTGATTTGAACTATTGCTGGAGTTTAATATTTCTAATTAGAGATAAAAATATATTATGGCACCATCCTAAAAATTTGGACATTTAATTTGCATATAATGATAAAATTTAGGGTTGTGCATCAATTTGATTGTTTAAGGTTGCAACCTTATGCAAACCGCACCCTTTGATAAAAAAAAAGTGTGGTTTATGTAAGACTGAGGCTTTAAACAATCAAGGTAAGGTGCACCCTCAAATAGTCTCAAAATATATTGTTTTAGTAATGAAAAATCTTGTGATAACATGAAATTTTATTCATCTCTAATTATATAGTTTGTTTGTTTTATTTTTAAATGTCATCATCATTTTAACATTTTTTCAATTAATTGGGGTCGGCTACAAGAGCTTTGGTTCTCCATTTTGCTCTATTAAAGGTCATCTCCTCAATGAGGCCATAAGTCCCCATATCTTTGCGAATTACTTCCAACCACATCCTTTTGGCCCTATCCTTTGCTCTTTTCAGTCATTTCACTTGAACTAACTCGAACCTCGTAATAGGTTTTGTACTTGGTCGCCGCCACATGGTCATTCCTTCAAAGTCTATTATTATCTCTCATTTTATTGCATATCGGTGTCATGCCTCAATTCTATCGAATAAATTCATTTCAAATTCTATCCCTTATTGTCTTACCACTCATCCATCTCAACATCCTCATCTCCCCGACACTCGTTCTATATGCATATTGTTTTTGTTCCGCTCAACATTCTGCCTCATAGAGCAAAGTTAGTCTCACCATTGTGCTATATAAATTTCATTTCAGCCTCATTGGTATGCTGCGATCACATAAAATTCCAGTTGCACATCTTTACTTCGCTCACCCAGCTCTAATTCTATGTGTGACATATTATCCGATCTCTCTATTTTCCTGGATTATTGACTCAAGATATCAAAAGTGCGGTATTTTTTGTACATCCTGGCCGTATATTGACTACTTTCTCGTCTCTACTTTTATTATTATTAAATTTACATTCTATATACTTTGTTTTAGTCCAACTAATTTTAAAACCCTTGAATTCTAATTACTTAATTTTTTAATATTTTTTAAAATTTTAAAATATTATTTCTGCTGTAATATTTTTTATTAAAATAATATTTTTGAAATTGCAAAACTTTACACAATGTACGTGGGAGAAAAGATCCACCCCCACATATTTGACCTTTTTTAAGAGTGGAGCCACGTGCCTCACAGCGATTACACATCCTTTTAAAACAAAAAAGGCTCCACCATTTTATTTAGGAAAGGGTGGGGGGCACGCCTCATATTTAATTTTTAAAAAATATTTAATGTGGCACACCACTTTTGGTGGTAGAAAAAAAAGGCCACCCCGATTTTCTAAAAAAGGGGCACGCCCAAATTTTGGTTTAAAATAAGTTAAAATAGGAAATCTAATTTAAATTAAATTTAGTATAATAAAATCAAATTTGAATTAGATTTTATTTAGAAAAATCTAATTCAAATTAGATTTAGTTTTATGGGAGCATATTTCAATTAGATTTGATTTACGAGAGATGATATAGATTAGGAAAAAGTTTATATAAAGCTGAGGCTCTAAACAATCAAATTGGAGCCTACCTCAAAAATTTCACTAGAAGAGATTGTTTTGATGCCTAAATATTTTTAAATTGATCATCTCGGCATCAAGGGCATGAGAAAAAAAAATGGATTTCAAGTTTTGAAAATAATGTATTTTGTAATGTACTTTTAAACTGTCAATTTTCAAGATTTTCAAGTTTTCATAGATATGTTGATTTACGCTCTTTTTGAAGCTTTAAACTTTAAAGATGAAAATATATTTTGTGGCTATTACAAAGATTTTCAGTATTGAATCCACATTTCTCGAAACTATTTAAAAGTAGGCTTTAATTTGATTGTTTAGAGCCTAGGATCTATATAAACTGCACCAGATAGATTAATCTAATTTAGTTTTTAAAAAAGGAAAAAGTTTATATAAGGTTGCAACATTAAAATGTAGAACTATGGATGCATCTCAAAAATCCATCAAAAAATGTTGTTTTAATATTGAAAAGCCCTCTATGAAAAGAAAGGATTTTGAGTTTCAGAAATAATGCATCTTACACCACATTATCTAGACCATCTATTTAAAGATTTTCATATGTTTATAGATCTACTTGATTTTAACAATTTTTAAAGTTTAAAATTTTATAGTTAGATATGGAAATAGATTTTGAGATAATCCTAATAATATTTTTTTATGAGACCCTCTCATATCCATGTGTGTAGGATCTCAAAGGATCACCATTAAATTTGACACAGATATCTAAAAAAATTATCACATAGGTGTGGGACTTGACTTTTCTAGAGATCTGTATCAAATTTAATGATGATCCTTTGTGGTCTTACACACATAGATGTGAGAGGGTCTCATAGGATCATTACTCTAAAATTATATATCATAATAAAATTTGAAGGTAAGCCTTAATTGAATTGTTTAAGGTTGCAACCTCATGGAACCCACACCCTTTAAAAAATAATATAAATTAATTATATTTTACTTTTAAATAAAAATAAATTGTATTAAAATATAAAAAAATAAGATTTTTATTTTTTCACCCACTCCCCGAGCTAATGGTATGAAACTATGAATCTTAAAATTAAGGAGAGAGATTTATTTCTATCTATAAATACCTAGTTCGAACTCTCTCCCCTTTCGCAATCTTTCTCCCACTCTCCAAACAAGATCCTCCCTATCACGCCACTCTCTCTCCTCTTTCCTTCACGCACAGTGAAAGTCAAGGTATTAAATCCAACGCCCGCCCTGTCTCTTTCTGCATCTTTGGGACTCTGTCTCTAAGTCTTTAGGAGGCAGCAATGGCGTCACTCACCACCCCTCACCGTCTCCTCCTCCTCCAAAAACCCACCAAAGATCTCAGCACTCTTACTTTCTCTGAGAGATCTTCCTACTCTGTCAATGGTTGTTCCTCTGCAAAAACCCAGAAACCCCTTTCCATCACCTGCACCGCCATTTCCCCATCTTCTCTCTCTACCCCACTTGAGCTTTCCAAACCCCACGAGAAAGAAAGGGTCTTCAACTTCGCTGCAGGGCCTGCAACTCTTCCCCCCAATGTTCTCAAGAAGGCCCAATCTGAGCTCTATATATGGGGAAACTCGGGCATGAGTGTAATGGAGATGAGCCATAGAGGTAAGGATTTCCTCTCCATTATTCAAAAAGCGGAATCAGATCTTAGGGAGCTGTTGAAAATACCAGAGAACTATGAAGTTTTGTTCTTACAAGGTGGAGCAACTAGCCAATTCTCTGCAATCCCATTGAATCTCTGCAAACCTAGCGATAATGTCGATTTTATAGTTAATGGTTCTTGGGGTGATAAGGCTTACAAGGAAGCTCAAAAGTATTGCAAAGCCAATCTGATCTGGTCCGGGAAATCTGAGAAGTACACAAAGATCCCATCTTTTGATGAAATTGAACAAAACCTTGATGCCAAATACCTCCATATTTGTGCGAATGAGACCATTCATGGCGTTGAGTACAAGAATTACCCAGAACCCAAAGGCAAGGACACTGTGTTGGTGGCTGATATGTCCTCAAATTTTTGCTCAAAACCAGTCGACATTTCCAAATTTGGGGTCATTTACGCAGGGGCTCAGAAGAATGTGGGTCCATCTGGTGTAACCATTGTTATCATAAGGAAGGATCTTCTTGGAAATGCACAGGAAATCACGCCTGTTATGCTTGATTATAAGATCCATGCTGATAACAAATCTCTCTATAACACTCCCCCATGTTATGCAATTTACATTTGTGGATTGGTTTTTGAAGATCTTGTTGCTCAAGGTGGTTTGGAGGCCATTGCGAAGAAGAATTTGGAGAAAGCTTCGATTCTCTACGATGCTATTGATGAGAGTGGTGGATTTTACAGGTGCCCCGTCGAGAAATCAGTTCGCTCTCTTATGAATGTTCCCTTTACTCTGGAGAAATCTGAGTTAGAAGGAGGCTTTATTAAGCAGGCCGTTAGTCAGGGCATGGTTTCACTCAAGGGTCATCGATCCGTGGGTGGGGTTCGAGCCTCGATCTATAATGCGATGCCTTTGGCTGGGGTAGAGAAATTGGTTGCTTTTATGAAGGAGTTCAAGGCAAAACATGCTCTGATTATTTAAATTACTTAGAGTCAGTCAGATTTAATTTTGCTTTTGTACTCTTCTTTTATTCGGGTTTCTTTTTGTAGTATTTTGATTGATGCAAAATTGGGAATGGGTTTTATAGGTCTTATTGGATTTTGATCTGTTGTAGTTTTACTTAGTATTAGTAAAGAAGAAAAACAAGGAAAGTTGCGATTCTATGTACCGAGGGCTGTTCTCTTCTTATTTTGCATGCTGTGATTCAATAAAAATTGAGTAGTTTAGATGATCGCCATGAATACCTGGTTTTCGTCATAGTCATACCTGTTTTCGACATATTATTTACTTCCTTATTATGGTTTTATAATGAATTCAATTATTAATAAATAACAGTCTGGAATCTGTGGATAACTCTTATCCTTGAATTGAACTTCAATTTTCCATGTCTCCCTGCAATTTGCTATTTCACACTTCTCTAAGTTGCATATATGTTTTAGCTTCTTTGTTCTCATCGTTCCCATTCGGTCAATGGTGCTATATGTATAACTATAAAAAAACAGTGCTATATGTATAACCATCAAAAAAATAAAGAGTGGGCAATTTATTGTAAGCAGTGTTAAAAAACAGGGCACGTGTTGAAAACTTGATAGGATTCCAAGCCCAGACAACCGAATCTGGCAGTGACTTGGCTGAGTCCCAAAAGGACAGAAATATCGGGAACTGGCCTGGCCAATTCCCTTGTGTTTGGTTCTGGGCTTGGTTGGAGCCTGCCTGCTGAGTCCAAGTAACTCAGGCAAGTTTGATTTGAACTCGCTGAGTTTTCCAACAGTGCTGCTAGATTTACAATTTTAAATTTTAATGAAGTGGATGTTTTATATTTTTGATTTTCTTGAGCTAGTGGATTGTTAATTTTTTTTGGGTAAATCAATGGGGATTTTGGGCCCCTGCCCATGGTCATTGATAAGAAGAGAAAAAGAATGCAATATAAAAGTTATGTTACAGCTCTCTTATAAGGACTTCGTGCAGAATCATAAAGAGATAAGAATAGGAAATTTGGGGGTGAGTCCTCCAAACAGTGGCTTCTGAGAGTGCTAGCACTCTCTTAGCCAAACAATAGGCACAAGCTATGTTCGATTCTTGATGAGCATGTAAAATCTCCGACTTTTTTCATGTTGAAGGTAGCATGTGATGGCAATTAATGGTCAGCGTGTGTAGGCTCCATGGGGTTTAGGAATGGCCTCGAGTAGACTCCACCAAGACATTGGGAATCGCTTTCAATGAACAATGGGAAACGCTGTCTCTTGAGTGGATCATTATGTTCTCTTTGATTTTTTCTTATTTCCTTCAAGTGATTCAATAAAATTGAGTAGTTCAGAGCATTCTCTTAGTGGATCATTATGTTCTCTTTGATTTTTTCTTATTTTCTTCTAGTGATCCAATAAAGTTGAGTTTTTCAAAGCATTACCATGGTTTACGTATTTTTCTATCATATTATTTATTTTCTTGATATTGCAGTATGGTGTATTTTTTAATTCCATTCAGTTGAAAGTTTGACTTGATTCCTGCAAATTGGGCTTGGGCTTTATTGGTTAGCTGTTGGCTATTGCAGCACAACGTCCCAATATCAATTCTTACTGCTAAAACTACCCAAAAAGGACTTGAGTCTGACAGTCTTACTATATATTATAAGGAGGGGAAAAAAACTGAAATTTGACCATAGTTGGGAACCCCATTTCCTTGAAATATGACTTGGATTCTAATGTTTTTCTGATTACCTATTCGTTTCACCTAATTTTTCATGTTTTCCCTGCAGTTACTGATGCCACTTCCCTCTAAGTCTCTTAGAAGTCTCAACTTCTTTACTCCCTTGCTCAACCATCATCAGGAATAACTCTGCATATGAGCATGCTCTTTTGAGCGACTCTTTATATTTCATAACTATCAAGAGATGAACTGTGCTGTGATTTGAACATGAAGTGGAACCTTTTACATTCTTTTTCGTTTTTTTTGTTTTTTTCCTGGGTTTCTATTATATTCTAAGGGATATCCTTTTGGTTCAACTGTATGCAGTGCATATGAACATGGACTGGATTATTTTGTTTCCAACATTTTCGATAGAGATCCCCAGTATACCATCTTACCTGAAACGGGCTGGCTTTTTCCCAAATGAAGCTACCTTAACCAGTGTCCTTAGAGCTTCTACAGGCTTGGTTTCACTAGAGCTAGGCCGACAAGTACATGCCCATAGTTTCAACACCGGCAGGGACTTGATAGTAAATAACGCACTCTTGGACTTGTACTCCAAGTGTGGAAGTCTAGAGGAAGCGAGATTGGCTTTCGATAAGATGGTAGAGTGTGATGTGATCTCATGGAGTACTATGGTGTTGGGTATGGCTCAAAATGGCCATGGAAAAGAGGCCCTTAACCTCTTTGAAAGAATGAGAGAAACAGGGATTAAGCCAAATTGTATATCTATGGTGGGTGTTCTTTTTGCTTGTAGCCATGCTGGTTTGGTTAATGATGGATGGAACTATATCCAATCATTGGAAAAGATTTATGGGGTCAAGCCAGGTAAGGAGCATTATGGATGCATGGGCGATCTCTTAGGGCGAGCAGGGTGTCTGGAAGAAACTGCAAATTTCATTAGAGAGATGAAATGTGAACCAAATGCTGTTATTTGGAGGACTCTTCTTGGAGCTTGCAGTGTCCACCAAAACATGGAATTAGCAATACATGCAGCAAAGCGTGTAATCAAACTTGAACCAGAACATGAAAGGAATTACATACTTCTCTCTAACATTTATGCCACTTCTTCTCGGTGGGACAACGTTGTAGAAGTGAGGAGAGAGATGAGTGAGAAAGGAGCCAGGATGTAGCTGGATTGATGTAGAGAGAGAAATCCATGTCTTTGTTCTGGGAGATACTTCGCACCCCAGAATGGAGGCCATAGTTAAAGAGCTCAACAGGTTGATGGGAAGAATTAAAGGATACAGGTTATGTTCCTGTTACAAATTTTGTGTTACATGACCTCGAAGATGAACAAAAGGAGGAGGCACTTCGATACCACAGTGAGAAGATGGCCACGGCATTTGGGTTGATTAGCATTCCTCAGGGGAGGCCTGTTAGGATTATGAAGAACTTAAGGATATGTGGTGATTGCCATATATTTGCGAAATTTGTGGCCAAGATTGAGAATCAGAGAATAGTGATTAGGGATCCAATGCATTTTCATCATTTAAAGGATGGAGAATGTTCATGTGGGGATTACTGGTGATAATTGAGAAGAGATATGTATGAGGAAAATGGTTGTTGCATCTCCTTGGAGAAATTTTCTCTAAGGAGAAGAGATATGTATGAGGGTTTATAGCTCTTTTATTTGATATTTGAAATATTTATGCTTCCAACTTTTGAAATCTAGGGTTTTTACTCTAAAAGTGTTGCTGAAGGTTAGAGATTTTTAGTCTTTGTTGGTGGTAAGAAATCGTGGTTTTTTTTCTCTACATATGTTTTCGGTGATCAAATCAACAGATCAACAGTCGATATGGGCATTTAGTCCTTAACGCCCATGAACAAATCAAGTGTTTGCAGCAAGAAGTCTAGGGTGCTTCTTTACAATGGCTCTGGGGATCAAAGAAACAGTCAATTAGGGGATTTTTAGTCCTTCAATTTGGTGAAGAACTCTGGGGTTTTTGTTATTGAAAATGTCTCTGAGGATCAAAGTGGTGGTGGATAAGTTTGTGAAGGTGTTAAAGGAGGTTCTAGATGCAGATATTCAGGATCGAATTATGAAGGAGAGAGAGATGCAAAGCTACATCGAAGAAAGGGAGCGAGAGGTTGCAGAGAGAGAGGCAGCTTGGAAAGCTGAGCTTTCGCGAAGAGAGGTAAACTACTGAAACTGTGGGATGATAATTAATATGATTAGCATTTTAATTGGATATGGAAACTCAGATTTACTTAAAAAGCAAAAAAAAAAAGGTTAGAGATATCAAAATTAATATGTATTTGCAGCAATTCCCTGTGTTTTTTGCATCATTTTGTGCTGTTTGCTTTGAAGCATTTAGTTTTGGTCCTTTGAAAGAAGTGGAAGTTGGTGGGTATGAGAAACTTATGATCATGAGACTAATACTCACACATTTGCAAAGAGAGTTAACAAAAAGAGCTAGGTTTAGGTGCAATTTCCTCTTTTTTTTTCTTTTTCTTTCTCGAAGCCTGAAGTCACAAGTTCTGGGACTCAAACCGGGGTTTCTCTAGTGAGAGCCGAGTAACCTCACCATTTAGACTACAATGGATGTGCAGTTTTGAGTTCAATCTTTGTCTCTTTTTTTTGGTTAATAATAATATTTCCTTATGCATCTACTTGATAAAATTAATGAAAATTTTACAAAAAGGAATTCCTTTTGTGTGTGAATGCCATTTATTGTTCTAAATCAACATAATCTTGTGACTTTTTAGTGGGCCATGGTGCTCATTTTTATTTTAATCTCAAAATGGTCATGGCGTTCATTTTGGTAATAACATTCATAGTTTACAGATTGGACCATAACCTAACTAGTGCCTTGGCCAATTTGGTCCAAAGCAAAAGATGGGTTTCATCAAGCGCTAAACAAATCCAATGTTTGACTGGTTTTGGCTTTTTGGACTGACCAATTATAACCGGTTAGATGGACTAAACAAAGTTGTACTAATTCTTTCACAGTACATTTCATATTTTTAAACTGTTCTTCCTATTTTTTGTCTTTATTTTCAAGAGTTATTTTGATTGGGCTAGACCCTTCATGCTATGGTGGCTAGTCTTGTTCTAAGAACACTTATAATATCTATTTAAAACCTGGAAGTATAAATTTAAGATATTACAGTTAAATTAGATGCAATTATATAATTAGTATATGACGGACATTGCTTATGGGCTTTGAAGTACAAAAATCTATAGGTTCATGATTCTACGTAGTTTGTGATTGAGTTATCCTTTCATGATAAGCCTTTTAGTTTCTAATCTATGAGGGATTATAGGAGCGGGAGGTCTCTTAGTCAATCAGTTGATTGGGTATATAGGCAATGCCTTCATTCTAAGTGGATAAGTGAATAGATTTGTTTGGAGTTGGATTTGTTGAGGTTGCTGATGGCCATTATTGATTTGTGCATACCCATTGGCATTTTTTGGGTGTGTTGAAAGTTGGGAATAATAAAAGTTTTACAAAGGTGGGAGAAGTGTGGGTAGAATGTATTGAGTGGCTTTCATTGGTTTGGTGTTGGAGTTTGGAGGGTTATGGTTGGGATTCTTATGACAGATTGGAGAGCTACAGGACTTAACTGCATCTTCTCACCATAGGTTCAGGACTAGCAAGTGTTAGGGGTTTAGTTAAGGATAAATTCCAGGAAATGGAAATGAGATTGCAAGGTTGATTAGGTGGGGCAGTCAATATAGGCCAATGACATGGCTCTCTAATGGTCTCAAGATTTTCATGTTTTCCTTTTATCCCATTCGATTATCAAAGTGGTTATTGTTTTCTATTGGTTTAGATCTGATGATCACAAGATTTTCATGTTTTCTTTTCAGCCCCTTCACTTGCAGAAGAGGTTCTCATTCATACTAGTTTGGACTTGGAGCTGGATATCCAATGGTCTTGAAAGATTGCAGATGGCTACCTTTTTTTGGAGATCCTCCCTCCCTATGTGCATATGGGAACTAATAAATTCATGGCTTCCCTAAATTAGAATAAGTGCCTGGATGTATTTGAGCCGATATTATTATTTCCACTTTGCTTATGTTTGATTAAGTTGTCTGTCACCTCTAGGGATACATCTTTCCAGCTAACGATTGTCGTTTTCGCCTTGTTAGCCAAAAACATGTCATGGTTTTATAGCTACTTCATTTGTTTTTTTGTTTTTTTTTCTTTGAATAGTTCTTTGTTTCTTAAGAAAAAGGAAGTATATATTATTTGGATGCAGTTTCTATAAGGCCTAGGCTTAATGAAAACAAAGTAAAGCCTCACCTCGAATCCTTGTACCGAAAGCACTCTGAGTATCTAAAATCTCCATGATGCCTCCAAAATCAATTTCCATGAGTACTTATTTTTAGGGAGAAGTGGATGTTCTAGATAATATGTTACAATATAAACTGTTTTTGGGGCTTAAAATCCAAATTTTTTCTGACAATCCTAGTGGTCAACACCAAGATGATCGATTTGATGGTTTTCTGACACTAGAACTGCAATTTTCAGTGAGTTTTGAGATGATGCCTTACTTATTTTGATATTGCTGCAGCCCTATCAAAATTTCCATTTCATTTCCTGGTTGGAAACTTGAGGGCAAAAAGAAAATAAAAAGACCTTGCTTATTCAACATCAAGCTATGGCCTTCGGCCGCCCTGACTTACTCGGTAGGGCCTAGTTGACTTGCCTGAGCCAGCACTGAGCAGCCTAATGACTTAGAAAAGCCAAAAAAAAGAGAAAAATTTTAAAAAGAAAATTAAGGAAATAACTAAAACTGATAAACAACAGAAAAAGCATATAAAAGATGAGAAGATTTTTTTTTTAAATAAAAAAAGAGGACTGGCTCAAAATCATCTTTTCAGAAAATGGAAAGCTCAGAAAAATGAAGACAATAAAACAAAGCATAAACAAAATTGAATATAAGTCAAATACAATTGATTTAATCAAAGATTAGCTCACTTATAAATGGAATATATAAATTATATCGTAATTATATACCCCTGAGTTGGGGGGGTTTGGGGATCAGCAGCCTGTCGAGCCCAAGCAACTTGGGCGCATCTAAATAGACTCCCCCCCCTGAGTTTGGGGGGTTTCGGGGTGCTTTAATTGGTTTCCCACTCATAAATTGAGGACCTTTGGTGGTGGCCTCTTTTTTTTCTTTGGATAATAGATGTCAGGCATCAATTTCATTAGATTACTTCTTTTAATGGAAACTAATGGACTGTCTTCTCTCTTCTTTTGCTGTCATGCCCAATGAACTGTCTTCTCTCTTCTTTTGCTGTCATGCCCAAAGAAAGAACCGCTTAGTCTTTGTTAAGATGGCATTTATCACATGGATTTTTCCAAGTAGAATACTATCACTGTTGTTGTTTTGCTATCTTGTTGATGCTATTCCCTTTGTTGGTGTTATTTCCCCTTGTGATTCTTTTCTTGATTATTGAAAAAGAACTCTTGATTATTAGGGTGTAAATTGAGTTTTCCTTGTATTGAAAAAGAATTCTTGATCATTATGGCACAACTATCTATGTGGTTATGCTGATTGTGTGTTTCTTGCAGGCTGAGATTGCTCAGCAGGAGGCAAGGTTGAAGATAGAAAGAGAGAACCTAGAAAAGGAGAAGAGTGTTCTCATGGGTACGGCATCAAATCAAGACAACCAAGATAGTGCTCTTGAAATCACTGTTAGCAGGGAGAAGTATTGCTACCTCAGATTTTCAAAAGCAAAGGAATGAGAGTGGATCCTCTGATCAAGGAGAAGTATGTGCAAAGTTAGTGCTCTTTCACCTTTCATTTAAAGGTAATGCGGATTATGTTATATCATATTGCGCTGACAAATTGGTTGCAATTTAGGGTCTCGAAATTTTCTTGGGTTCTGTTGTAATGATGAATTGTAAATTGGATGGGTTTATTTCATTATTGCTTGGACAGGAAAATACGCCTTTTTCTCAATAAATATTTTGTTATTTGTTGTGTAAAAAATGCTTTCCTCTTTTTGTGTTTCTTTCTAGTTTATGTACCGTCATATTATATTTTATAGAAAAGTCTGAAGTATATTAAATCTAACAATAGTCTTAATTGTATTCTATTAAATCTAACAATAGTTTTAATTGTATTTTTTCATGGATCAGTTGGAATGATCAATTAGTTCCCTATGGTAATGTAACTGGTAATCTGATCGGTTCATTCAATGGGAATATGATTCAATTTGTCGCGTGGTATTGTTACATTTTTGCAGTGTAGTTAGGTTGTTGTGACCTGTGGAGATACTCGAGGGATATCTTTTCGAGGCTTTTTGACATTGTTTTGATTTGTTTCAAGGGAAAGTTTATTTTATGGCCATAGCATTGCAAAGTCGCACATAAAACTCACTGCTAAAGGTAGTTTTTCGTGCTGGAAAACCTCTATATTGATCATCACAACCTCACTGTTGTTACTTGTCCAGACAAAAATTCTCATCTGATGTTTGCTGTTGTTACTTGTCCAGATTAATGGATTTCGATTTGACCTCATGGGGCATTTAATGAAATGTACCGTGGTATGTATTGCTATTATCTATGACCTACAAGCTATGAGTACTTTCCAAACCACCATCAATTGACAATACCTGCACTTTTTGGTTCAATGAGCTTAGGTAAGAATATTTAAATGTCAAAGCGTAGTAATAAGAGCAGTAGCAGTTGAAACATAAACTATTAAATTCATATCAGTGTTTCAAAAAGCGCTAGGCGGCACCCTGGTTACCATGGGGTTCAGGCCGCCCAGCTCCTAGGCGGTCTAGCGCCTAGGCAGCCCGCCTAGGTGGGCCTACAGAACTTGGGCGGCCCAGTTGAAAAAAAAAAAAATCTGATGTAATGTCTAATAAATGATAATGATTAATCCATAAGAATTTTGAAAATCCATAAGACCATAATCCCAGTTGAAAAAACAAGATAGAAGTCAAGAAGAGAATTTTGATAATCCATAAGACCATAATCCATATTTTCATACAATGCTAAAACAGTAAACTGTGAAACCATACATGCGTACACTGATAGTCTGATGCACTGTAGACAGTACATACAAAAGTTAGATAGTAGAACTAGAAACTAGAAAGTAGAAACTAAAAATAATAAAAAGAAAATATACAAAAATTAAAAAAATAACACTCAACACCAAGAAGCAAGACTCAAAAGTCTTCAATCATCATCAGAAGGAATAGGGTTAGCTGCATTATATGCGTCAGATTTGAGGCCATCATCATCAGAGTCATCTCCCTCTTCAATATAACACTCGTCCTCATCTGTTTCTTCTGAATCTGCTTCTTCCTCATCCTCTTTTTCTACCTTCCTCTTACTAGTATATGCAGATAGGAGTCTTGGCTGCTCTACCATTTTCTATCTTTTTGTGTTTCCCTGAACTCAAATATTGTATAATTTTCTCCCTGGTAGCCTTAGGAACATTTTTACACGGGGCAACATCCCCCTCAATACCGGCCAGGTTGTTTTTTAAACCGGTAAATTTCCCCATTAGTATCCTTTCCACAATAATTACATTTAATACAATTTGTCATTCGGATTCGGGTTATAACCATACTTCTAACCCGGATCACCACTTCTAGAAGGCTTGGAGAAGATATTTCAATAGAACAAAGCTCATTTTCTGGTTCTTTTAAATTAAGAAGTTGTCTATTCGCAGCTCGAATAGCTTCAGGAACTTTTTTCACAAGAAGCAGCATTCCTTTTAATACCAGCAAGGTGTTTCTTGAATCAGTTAATACCCCCATTGGTATATTTTTCACAAAAATTACACCTTATACAATTTTTATTGTTTGGTTTTGAGTTATAACGATACTTCCAACCCGGATCACTTCTTCTAGAAGTAGCAGAAATAGATCTATTCAAATGACAAGGATTTTGTTCTCGTTTTTGTTTTACATAACTCATATATTGCTTAGTCTCCTCTCTGATAGCTTCAGGAATATTTTTACAAGGGGCAACATCCATCGTAATACCTGCAAGATGTTTCTTAAACCGGTTTATGTTCCCTTTTGTGTCTTTTTCACAAAAATTGCTTCCAATACAATTTTGACATTGGGATTCAGGTTATATGCATATTTTCAACCCGGATCTTCACTTCGACTAGATCCTGAAGAAGACATCTCAAAATAAAACAAGCAATATAAAAAATAAAGTTTCGTACTTACTTTGATTGCTCGAACTCCAACTCCCGCCTCTGAGATGTTTTTTGGTGCTAAAATAATAAAAAACATCCTCTAATAGGATTATAAAACTCCAAAAGTAAATCAAATCTACCTAGGTGATGTTTGGATCCGCTTTCCGTAACTTCGACAAACACTTCGATCCAATGAAAATCACAAACTTTAGTTTTCTTTCTCTAAAAAATGGGTTATTGTGGGTTTAGGTTTCAAATGAACCTAAAACCCATCCTTGTAACCCTTTATATTTTTAAAAAAATCAATACAAAAAAAAATAAATTTTCGCCCCTAGGCAGGGGCGTAGACCCTAGGCGGGGGCACAAGCCCTGGGCGGCTGCCCAAGGCTGGGCGCCCACCTAGGCGGGTTTCGTACTGCCTACGCGGCCGCCTAGGGATTGCCGCCTAGTTTGGCTGCCTAAGCCTGGGCACGTCGCCCGGGCCTTTTGGACCGCCTAGACGTTGGGCGGTCCGCTTTTTTGAACACTGGTTCAAATAAATAGGTTCTTCCTCATATTACTTTCACTACTTGGTTAATAACATGATTGAGAGATCATCTTGATTTAAATCAGCTTTTATATCCTAACTAATTTGTTTTTGTTGAACACTTCTATGATTAGATTTCTTATCACACTGTTGTCTTTACAGCTTAAAGCTAAAATTGCTCTCCATAGTTTGACGACATCTAAGGATGCGGTTGATGGTAGCAAAATTTATGTGAGTATTTTCTCTTAAACCCCCGTGTTCATTGTGTGTGATTTTCTATCAATTCGTCAATATGGTTGTCATCCACTAAATTGCCCTTTCTTTTCTTGAATATTATTTACTCTATCAAGCCAAACTGATGACATTATGGGTGTATAGATGTGGGGAAGGATGGGACTTTGGTGAGGTTGCAAAAAATGCACGTGGAGTAAATGCTTCACAATTTAATCATGGAGGGATCGGTATTGGAGGTAATATTTCTTGTGTGGTCTTCAGTTGAGTATTCATTGATTTAATGGAAATGAAATATAGTTATTAATAGATCACCTGGCTTGTGGGATGCCATTTTGTATATATGCCTAGTGTTTTCATATATATAAAATATAAACATTAACCTTCTCCTCCCCCCGCCCCCCAAAAAAAAAGAAAAAGAATAAAGAATTATCTGTGAATATTTGTAGGGTTCAATGAAGACATGGATTGTAGAATGTATAGAGTTATAGTTTCTAATATAAATTTTGTTGATAAGCAAGTTTAGTAATAATAGGAGTAGAAATGGAAGAAGTTTAGATTGATGGTCAAGAAATATCAAAAAGAGCGTACTTTACATATTGTGGGTTGATAATCCAAAAAAATGGAGAGATTGAGGAAGATTTTGCGGATAGAATTAGAGCTGGTTGGGCAAAATGGATATGTGTAACTTGAGTTCTATGTGATTGCCGCATACCAATGAAGTTGAAAGGGCAAGTTCTATAAGAGAGCTGTAAGATCAGCTTTGCTTTTTATGGGGCGGAATGTTGGAAAGTAAAGAAACAACATACCCATAGGTTGAGTGTGCTTGAGAGAGGATGTTGAAATGGATGAGTGGCAAGATAAGAAAAAATAAAATTCAAAATGAATACATTCGCGAAAACTTAGGTATGGTTTCAATAGGCGATGAGAAAAAGTAGACTTATGTGGGCTGCCCATGTGCAATGGAGATCCAGTACAATAGCTATTAGGAGGTGCGAGTTGGTTCAAGTGGATAGCTCAAAGAGGGCAACGGATAAGGCCAAAAGGACATGGTTGGAAGTAGAGAGAAAAGATATGGGGTTATGACTTCACTGAGAGTATGGTCTTTGATTAAGCAAAATGGCGGACCAAGATTCGTGTAGCCGACCCCAAATAGTTGGAAAAAGGCTCTGAATGATGATGAGCACTTCTAGAATGTAATGTCCCAATTGTATAACTATGTTTGTGAGAAAGTTATTGTTAGTTGCACAAACATACCTTATGTTTTTGCCTTCACTCTCGTGGTAGGAACAACGCATCATATGATAACCTTTTTACTTTATTATGGACTGGTAGTTATTACTTGAGGGGAAGTGACACATTTCCTCCCCTCAATGCTATGCATTTTTGTTGTGATGCTCAAGTTCCTATATCAAAAATCATAGCATGAAAACCTATGTAACAACTACATCAAAATCATAGCTGTAGCAACTATTAGGGCTCATCCATTAAAACCTATGTAACAACGATAACTCCCATACATAATGGGCCTCATGATGTGGCTGTTATGGGTTCATACCCATTAAACTTGCAACTCCTATGAACAATGGACCTTATGCCCATTAGAACCAGCTGTAACAACTCTTGTAACTCCTGCTGTATTGGTTGTAATTCTTTTGCGTGTTGACCTATCCATAGTGTACTCCCCATAGGAATATGTGTAGATATAGGGCACATTGTCCTACAATTTATAGTGTGTGAAAAACATTTATTTATTTGTGCTTGAATATTACTCTCTCTTTCTCAATCTTAACATGGTATCACAGTAGGGCTTGAAACCCTAGGATATCCATGACTTACAACAACCCTAGAATAATGAATTTTCTTTTCTTGGGCTTGAAGTTTGGGGTATCAGCAACCTCATATTCCAAGTAGGATATGTCACTTTCCTTTGCCAAAAATAACTTTTATCCGAAACTCTTTCCATTTCCAGCCCCCAAGAAAAAGACCAAAAAAAAAATCCTAGTGTCTGACTTGTCCCACAAAAAATTACACAAGTATGTTCGATGCCTATTCCATAGCTTTCTTACCTAAAGTATAGGGTTTTGAGTTCGAGAGAGGAGAAAAATGTCAGCAATCAAGCACAGTGTCACCTTGGGAAGAAACATTCTAATGCTCAGCGAAGGATATTTATACGCTGCCAAGCTTTTTATTTTGTGTGAATACTTATGATTGTTCTTCTTTCTTATTCAGGATATGCTGCCAAGATTTTTTCAAACTTTTCTTGAATCAAAGTTTTATGATTCTCATTCTTGTGCAGCTTCAATGATCGTTAAGTGATGCTGTAGTTGGTGGATCTCCATTTGGACCTCCGCTTCAACAAGGTTTTGTGACAGGTTTATCCTTGAAATCATTATAATTGTCTAAACGGAATTTATCTATGAAATATGAAATTAACATGCTTGCTTTAGGATTAAAAAGGAAAAAAAGAACTCGATTATCACACTTTATAATTTACAACTTTCCATGCTGCATTCTTAATGACTATCAATTGAACATAAAAGATTTTGGAGTAAGAAAATAATTTTACTTTTAAATACACCATACCCGTTTTATTAAGCACATCTATTGTAGCTTTTTCTTTTCCTGTAAGTCAGTGGGGGAGAAGCCCCTCGACCATTTTTTTATTGTTAACATTTAAGAAGAAATAGTTCATTATTTTACAATCCTATAATAGGACAGTTGTACCAAATCATGAAGTAAAAGAAGGAAAATAAAATCCAGTAGTCAAAATCGCCAAATAGTAGCTTCAGAACTAAAAGAAGCTTTCTTAGCAAGAGCATCGGCTACTATATTGGCCTCACAAAAAATATGAGAAATTGACCATATACGATTTGAAAGTCCACTTCGACAGTTTGCTGCAGCCGTATGTAACCTCCATAGGGCTCGACAACATCCTTGAATGACATTCACCAGTAAAGATGAATCACGTTTTACTTGGAGAGGAAAGCAATTCTCCGAAATGGCTAGACAAATACCTTTTTCAAGGGTAAGAAACTCTACATAATTATTAGAGACATATCCAAATGACTTAGAGAAGCCAACAACAAAAGCACCAATACTATCCCTAATAACACTACTACCACTTGCCAAAACTGGGTTCTATAAAGAAGCACTATCAATATTCAACTTAAAATACTGGTGTTAGGGAATGACCATGCCACCGGGATAATGGATCTAGGTAGCTATTGACACCATGTAATTTATAAATTATCAATAATTAATCTGTCTGATAAATGAAAAATCCACTTTTTTGCATCGCTAACTCCTTAATATGAGACGAAATTGGCTTAACAATATGTTCCCTTCTTGTAGACTTTACTGGAAGACTCTCCTATTTTGCTCATCCCACAAGAACCAAATTGTTGTAAAGAAAATAGAAGTCCAAATATTAAGAAGATTTTCGAATTTAAATCTAAAGGCCAACCCGCTTCTCAATATGACATGAGCCGAAATACTAGGGCTGAACTGCTTACCACACCGCCATGCAACTGATTTCCATACACTACGAGAATACATAGTGAAACAATAGATGACAATTACTATCATCATTGTTCCTATAGAAAGGGCATACTGAATCCTAATTCATACCACACTGATTAAAAAATACAATGGGCAAATGATTATGGAGTGTCAACCAAGAGAACCATTTGACTCTAAGATAACATTTGGAAGACCAACAAGCTCAGAAAATAACCTTTATCTCTAATAAATTCTCAAGCCTCTTTAATTGAAAACAAACGATTAGTGGAGTGCATCCATACTAAGAAAACCTTTTTAGGCTGTAAAGGTATATTATAATTCTTAACCTCACCCCATAAACTGACAAGAGGAGCTGAAGTGGGTGAAGGAAGACTGCCCTGATAACAAAGTCCGCTATAATCAGGGATTTTCCACCCAACAAAGTCGCCCAAATCCTTATGTACACTGTCACCATAGAAATCCCATTTAGACTGCCATTTGCCCAAAATTTCGCGAGCTAGCCATCACCAATAATCGAATAGACATTATCCTTTGGCTGAGATAAACCCTATAGATTACCCTTCCAAGCATAGAAGCACTACGATTTCTCCTTGACCTCCCATATAAAATTACTCTTGAAATAACTGTGCTTGAAAAACTGAGCTAAGAGAGACGAGGGACCTGCCAAGATTCTCCAAGCCACCTACATCATTCCTGCAATATTAAAATCTATAATATTACGTAATCTTAGCTCCCCCTCTCCTTGAGTCGTGCAAACTGTCTTCCAATTCACAAGGTTAACCCCTTTTTTTACTGCCACACCTTCCCATAAAAAATTCCTTTGCAACCTTTCAACCATATTGCAAGTTCGTTTTCGTAGAATAAAAGATAAAATCCAAAAGATAGAACATGTGCTTAGTACTGATTTTAGAAACTGCAATCGACCTGCATAGGATAAACAAAGAATTTGTCATATACCAATCTTGCCAATAACCTTGCCCACCAAACTGTGGTAATTTATGTGCTTTAAATGACCATAGAACAGAGGCAGACCCAAGTATCTAACCGGAAAGTAACCTTCTCAAAAGTCCAACTTCCTAAAATAGTGGTTCGAGCACTCTGTGTTGCATTAAAGGAAAACACTTTGCTTTTTTGCAGTATTAAGCTTCTCAATAGTAGTGAGTTCAAAGATGGAAATAATCCGTTTCATCATAATGACAGAGGTAATAGATGCTTTGCAAAATATTAAAGTGTCATCAGTATAAAATAAATGAGAAACCCCTAATCTTCTCGCATTCCACTAATTTCTATCTTGCAAATGTACAACCATCTACTCTGTTAGATTGTGCACAGTCTCTGCGAACCTATCGAGTTCATGGCCTACATTTCTTCGATAATGACCCTTACCTCGAGCAGCCATCACGATTGACAAAGCCCATAAATTGTAGCTCTGATACCATATGGTGCAAAACCGGCACCGGAAAGTATAGATACTACGTATGAGGGTGAGACAAATTGAAATCTACTATACTGATGAGAATTGCATCTCATATTTTGGGACATGGAGTTCCTTCTATAAACTCCTCGTCTAGAATCCCTTTTAAACTAACTCTCCATATCCAAATCACCTGTCGATCATCCTATTTGTATTACATAGTTAAACCATAGTCCGATAAGAAATGTTTAAGAGCGACTGAGACTTTCTCTCATTATAAAGGATACCACCAAAAATCACCCTCTTAATTACTTCTTTATAAGAAACCAACAAGAAACTAGTTGCTCTCTAAGACGCTCACGTACCCATTTTCACAATATTTATCTTTGTTGTCCTTGTTGGAAAAAATTGTAATCACCATCATATTTCTCCACTTTAATCAATAGATTCGCTTATTTCACCTTATGCTTTTATTGAATGAACAACTCAAGCCTTGTTGTAAACCAAATACTCCAGTACCACTTGTTAGGTTCTAAATACCCTTTTAGATGCTAGAATCATGAACTTGAAATATCAGAATCCCACTAGGACTGTGTACTCAACATATCAAAAACAAAATAAGCGAGTACAAACCACAATACGAGCGTGATAAATAAAGTATGAAAACACATATACAACAAGAATTCAAAAATTTTCATAGCTCACCTATAAGAGGCTTCAACCACAAGCATGGCAAATTGAATTCCATTATATTGTTGAGAGTTTCATAAGATAATTTTTTATAGAGTTACCTCAATAACTCTCGTCAACTTATATTTAAATACCATAAGTTTCTATTACCAATTTTCAAATCTTATAAATGAACTACAATGTTGACTTGACAATATTGTTGTTAATGAGAAAACTAGAACATTGTCTTTAATATGCGATAGTTTTTAAGTGGGAGTGGTTTCTATAAGGTTGCGACCTTAAACAATCCAATTAAGGTTCACCGTCAAGTTTTATCATAACATGTAATTTTGGTGTAAATTATTTTTAGGATTATCTCATAATCCATTTTCATATCTAATTACAAAACTTTAAATTCCAAAAACGGCTAACACCCTCCACTTTGTGGTTTCCCTTCCCACCACTAACACCCTCCACTAATACCTTAAAAAAAAAGCGAACTCTTAACCTACTTGAAAAAATGGGTAGTGGCCTATCTTCTCCACTGAATTACCCACAAAAAAGAAAAAGAAAAAAAGATGCATTATTTTTGGGATTGAAAATATTTTTAGGTTTTTTTATATTCATACTTCTCGATGTCAAGATGATCAATTAGATGTTTTTCAATAATAAAAAACCTTTTCTAATAGATTGTTGAGGTGCATCGTTGCAACCTTATATAAACTTCTTCCTTTTTAAGTACTGGCTATGTTTCTTTTTTTTCGTCCATGCAAATTTCAATTATTCAAAATAATTTATTTGTGTATATCATTCCTCCTGAATTTATTTGTTAATGTTTTAATATATAGTAGCAAACGGATTTCCTAATCTTTTGAATTGTCTTAAAATTTGGTGATGTTTTTGCTCCATGGAAGATATTTTTAAGCATTTATTTAATATAAGCCCATAACATTTGTTAAAAAAAAAAAAAAAACTAAAGATATTTTTTAATAATTTTCAGTTTTAGAATATTTTAAAAATATGTTGTCTTAGTCACAGAATTAGGAAAACCATATTTATTTCTTTAATTTATATTTCAAAATATTTTATTTTTTTAAGTTTTAATTACACATTTTTTAGTATTTTAAAATTCACGCCTATTCCACTTTCAGATATTTTCAGAATTTCCTTTATAAGTGTAATTCTTGGTTTTCAATTCTTTTTGTTTTTAACTTCTAAATTTCAAATGCATTTAAAATGAATCATAAACATATTTTTTTATAATCTTTAAATCTAAATATCACATCTATTAACCATTTAAATTGCTATACTTTAGAAATAATTTATAACCAATCCCAAATTTCTTTTAATGAATTATTAAATGATTCACAAAACTTACATAGAGTTTTCTACAAAGTTAATCAATAGGAAGCTATATTTTATTATTTTTTACTACTCAAATAAATTTATATTTTTGAATATTTTTACGCCTTTAAATTTTAAATAGAGATATTTTCACTATTTTAATATGAAAACTTTCATTATTAACTTTCAATTTCTTAAAATAAATTATGTTATCTTCACGACAAAATTGAATAACAATTTTAACATATTTTGTCTTCTTTTATTTGGATAATTTATGGCTATAAATTTATCTATGGCTATGTTTAGGTATGATTTTGACCTAATCGTAACTTTATCTTGATGTATCCTCAAGCAACCTTACTCATTTATTCAAATCTTACATGATAGAAATCATATTTAGAGCAAGGTATTAAATTCACATTAAAC